GACTAGCTTCTTCGCGTAGGCAATTTCACCAACGCTGCAGAGCCATGTCAAGGGCGTCCACGCGCTTCCGTGGTCTTCGTGCCATAGGCCGAAACGCACGCTCAGAAGCCCATCCGGGCCGTCCCAGCCGTTTAGGTCGGCCAGCTCCGAGTACAGCTCGTCATGTTCGCCGCTCGCATACGCGAGCGCCTTGGCAACCAGCCACGGCGGGTCACCTGCGGCAGCGCTTTTGCTCCCTTGCCTGTGAAGCTGAGACGCCGCCTCGCCCTTGCTGCTGAGGGTCGTCGGCGTCCAGACCTGGCCGTCGCTGAAGTACCAGTGCTTGACGTCCTTGGGGTGAACCACATCGGTCTCCTCTGACCGCCAGTTGCTGAACATAAACTCAACGGCAGGATCACCGACCGTGAAGCGCTCGTCGGCCTTGAGCCGCTCATCGAAATCCTCCTTCGAGCCAGACAGCCACACACTGTCCTCGAACCATAGAGTCCGGTCCTCCGGTTGAATGTCGCCTTGGCGCTTCCTGACGAAGACTGGCCTCCCATTCATTTGCTGGCCCGGAACGCTGGAGAACACAAATTCTCGCTGTCGCTTTTCTGCACTGGCCGGCCCCGAGCCCGGAATGGCGCCGCGGAGCCGCAGCACGCCGTCGTCCGATGCCGACGCCCCGGCGCTCATGGCGGCACGGGAGTAAGAGTGGAGAGACTCGGCCGGCGGCGAGGAAGCCGAGCGCCCCGCGTTCTCCGCCCCAAAAAGAATTCTACGAAGACAATCCCTCTCACAGCAGACTGGCACGAACTAGCACCCCAAAAAGAATTCAACCAGGGCAGGTCTCTCGCACAGCACACAGGTTCGACACAGGTACCAAAAGAGGCACAGCCTGCGACGGACCTTTAGAAGGCGCCGTCGTCCTCATGGAGGTGGGCACGATCGGGGGGACAGTCGAATCCGCGAGCACCGTAGTGCTCGCCGAAAAGACCATCCCCATCATCCCAACCCCCCCGGCGACCCCCTCGCCGCTTGCCCCGCCAGCGGTGACGCCAAGGAGTCCAGCACCGCCGACGCGGACAGTGACGGCATGCCCGATCACCTCGACCCCGACTCGGACGGTGACGGGTCGCCCGATGCGGAGGAGGGCACGGGCGAGTGCGGAATGCCAACAGGCTATTGCGGACATACCACGCTCGTCGATTCGTGTCAGGGCCTCGGGCAGAACGCTTGCAAAACCTCTTTCATGCCATTCAGAACTGGCTGTCCCGACGATTATTACAGGGTTGCCGCGACCTATATATCGCCAGGCGTCAATCATGCTGTAGAACAATGCGACGCGTACCTCAACATCAGTGTCGGTACCTGGAGTTCGGTACCTGGAGCCGGATGGAGGTACCAAAGTGATGCACCACCACCCACCACATACCTTGACTGCTATTGGGTAGCAGCAAACAACTATGGCGCTGGCTGGTGTACTTGGAGGAAGCCTTTGAGTTGGGTCGAGAAATGGCCTGATGGCACTTCGCGGCATGACCCGTATTGGACCCGGTACAATCCTGGATTGAGCACCTACATGGAATGCCCGACGCCGAAGTTTGCGGAGGAACTCGGCTCGCCGACAATAAAAGGCAGCGTATATGGCTCGCCCGACCCGTTTTGCGGGCCCGAGAGGTGGTATCCGCAAAGTTGCATCCCGAATGCGTGTCCCGATGGGAGGAGCTGCATTCCCGACTCGGACGGCGACGGCATCCCCGACGCCGTGGAGGGCTGCGTCGACACGGACGGCGACGGCGACCCCGATTACCGCGACGCCGACTCGGACGGCGATGGGACGTCCGATAAGGAGGAGGGCACCGGCGACGCGGACAGTGACGGCATCCCCGACTACCTCGACCCCGACAACACTAACGAAGCAGTCCGCTGTGCGACGGCCGTCGTTCCGGGGAGCGACACGTGCTGCCCGGCCATGGAGCAGTGCAAGTGCCGTGAAGACTGTATTGGAAACTGGGGCCAGGCCGATGCGAATGGAAACGATGCGTACTGCTCGGGTGGGGGTCCGCGCATATCGCCTCCGTGTGGCACGCCATAGAACCCGGACCGGGGCGGTGGCTCGGTGGCCGGAGGACTGCCCGTGCGTTCCTGCTGACTTGTGAGACGTCGACCATCGGATGAGGAGAGTGAATGGGGTGCCCCTTGACGTCTGCCCTGAGCATCCTCCCTGAATGCTCCTCGGGTGGGGGTGCCGCCAGCATTACCGCTGGCCTCTATACCGAGCTTACGTGCTCTCTCCCTTTCCACGTGTGTGAGACTGGACGGACTTTCCACGTGTGCGAGACTGGACGGACTTTTCGGGCAGGGCGGCGGCCTGGCCGAGGGACGTGGGTATTAATTTTGTTGATTGATGTTACGGCCGTAAACTTGACTAAATAATTACAGAAGGAGGGGGGGGGGGGGGACACGAGTTGCTGGAACGAGTTGGAGGGCGATGGCGGCGAATTGGCCCAGGGCCGTCCTGTCCTGACCTCACGGAAGCTTGTATCGGACCTGGAAGACATTGCGGTCTGGATTGTCGACCAAGCCTGTGCATGATGACGGTCCGTTCATCGCGACATTGTTGTGGAGAGGCCACATCTTGTTGCCGCGCCACATGGAGAGGCCGCACCCCTTCCCTAGGTGGCCGAACATCAATGCATTCCCCCAGGGATGCCCTTGATAAACGATGACTTCGCAGATGTTTCCTTCGGTGACTTTGTTTGGGCCGGTCGCATAGTAGAAACTTTGGTGCATCTCAGGCCAAATGGGGCTCTGGATGCGTCCAACCCTCATGTTTTCAGCAACGAAGTCGGAGTTGAGCAGCCGCCGCGACTTGTTGGTAAAGGGCTCGAACTCCATCTCTGCTGCCGTCTTCCCACGCCTTGTACCTTCTGCAGACAGCGATGGCGCGCAGCGTGAGTGCACATACCAAAAAAGGTATGGATAGGAGACAGACGCTTGGCGGTGAGCGTGGCTGCAAGAGTGGGAAGTGGTAAAGCGGGGCGGGAGGGAGGCGGGGGCGGGGGGCACCGCAATTCATGAGTTTAGTAAGGCGCGCGTCTCCGTTTGCGAGCGAGGCGTCCATGCACTGGCCAGCAAAGCACGCCAACATCTTCTTGAACGACGAGCCGAGAGCCTTCAGGGAGGCTGGGATTGCTCCCGCGCGCATAATCGCGGCGATGCCTTGATTCTCACCCCCCGCGTTGCGGGCTCCTCCCTCGACCACGAATCCGCGTCGGCCCTCGCTCCCATCACTCCTATATGGCTCGTCGTCGATGTCGACGCAGACCAGGTCGCACCCGGGCACCTCGTTTCCGTCTGTATCGTGGGTGGTCCCGGAGCAAATGCTTGCCGTCCCTCCGGTGTCGGGGATCATGGTGTCGAGCGCTTCGTTGCCGACATAGTAGGAATTCTCATACTGGAAGCCATTTGCAATCTCGTTGTTGGAGTTTGGCAGATCAGAGACGCCGTCCACGTCCTCAATCTCGAACAGGTACCCCCACCCATCCTCATGCGGACACTTCGCGCTCATGGCACGCGGTGCAGGCGGTGGTGCAGGCGGACTCGGCGGGGGACTCATCGCCGGTGGCGGAGGGCAGGGCGCCTCGGAGAGGCGACGGCGCTCCGCTTCGGTGTCGGGGTCGGCGACGCGCTCGACAGACGATGCCTCGACGATGCCGGTGGTTGCTCCCATCGCCGTTTGATCTACGTGCACATTAGACCGAATCAGGTCACCGATGATAGCAACCAACGCGGTATCGGCCTTTGCCCCGTGGAACCGAGAGAAGGCAAATTCGGTGGCAAATGGGCTGTGCACCTCGTAGTCGGATGCCGTGCCAGAGATGGCGCCTTCAGCTTGGGCGCTGGTGGTGAAATCACCAGCAAAGGGGTAAACATCCTGCTTGCCGTTGCGCTGGAGCCCGGGTGTGGCAAAGGACTGGCCTACTCACAAGGAGAAAAGGGACGGTCCGACAGGGGCGAGGCGAACAGGGGATTTGTGGGAGAGCCCGCGCCAATGATGCCGTGTGGCAGGTCGCGGGCCGGAGCGTCGCCGCGTGCCGTGAAGCCGACATCGATCCGGTGGGCCGGCCCCTTGATGAGGCAGTCGTGGCCGGTGTCGCACGAGTGCATGCCCTTCACCGTGACCATCCAGTTACCGAGCTCAAAGGTGGCGCTCGAATGGTCCATCGCCATCTTGAGACCCCAGCAATCCTTCTTGCCGTGGAACCCGAACTTGAAAGGGCGGCCGACGCAGGTCCCATTGATCACTTTCCAGCCGAAGTTGCTGGGGTCGAGTTCGGACGCCCAGAACGAGGCAGTGGCGAGCTTTTGTGGGGACAGCTGCGCCGTGATATGCGCCTCCGTTAAGAAGGTGCCATTGACCGTGAGTAGGCCGTGATGCGCAAAGAAGACCGCCTCCTCCGTCTTAACGTTGACCGACAAATCTGGCGCGGAGAGGAAGTTGTAGAGCGCGTTGTCGCGGCCGCGAAAGTCGGCACGACCGCCGTAGGCAAAGTTGACTATCGGGTCGCGGAAGACCTGCGCTTGTGAGACGCACTCGCCCAAGGGCGCGATGGAAAGTGGCAGCATCGAAAGTAAGCCGGGAGCGCTGAAATCGATTATATAGGTGAATCCCATTATCCAAAGTTTCAACGTCATATACGGGAAGTTGCCGGCAAGGGGGGGACGAGCTTGCTGCCTTGGGGGGGACGAGCTTGCGGCCGTACAAAAAAGTCATATTACGGCGGTGGACAGCAGGTACGCGAAATTAAGGTCCCCCACCCATCAATCACTCGAGCACCGGCAGTCCTGCACCGGCACCGGTCGGTGGGAACACATGGGGCTGGCGGCTGGGGCGAACACTCGAACAACGTTGAGGATTTCAGCCAACAACTGTTAGGGCTTAGGCGCCCCAAATTAACGTTAGGCACCCATATTCCGCGGCTTCCGCCCCCTTCTGATTTTTCGTACGAGTTCTGTGCGTTCAGGGTAGCTTTCTTAACTCTCTGCAATGTGCACCCGGCTTCAAGTTGCTCTGTGCGGACCTCGTGGCGAGCCTAGCGACTCCCCCCCCCCCGCGCGCGCCCGCCAAGGCAGGACCCCGGTGGCGCAGAGAAGCAGCGCACTGGCCACGAACGAGCCAATGTAGGGCGCGATCAAGCAGTGGGCCATGCGAGTCGGGTAGGAGTGGGAGGGGAAGAGCCAGCCGAGGCGTCCCGCGGACATGAGAGTGAGGCCAATGTTGGCAAGCATGAAACCGGCGGGGATCCGGAGGGAGCGGCCGAGGAGTGGACTGAGGAGGCCGAGCTCGATTAGGACGGACTGCTGAAGCGCGCTCTCACCCTGGTCGCTGCACCTATCATGCCGGGCCACGGTGCAAACCGTAAATGAGCGGGGAGTACCAGGGCAGGGCCGCGGCCGCACGCACATGGCGCCCAGCACGCTCTCGATGTCCTCTAGCAGCTCCTCCTCTTGCCGAAGGAAGGCCTTGAGCAGCCGCGCGACATTCGTGCAAGTCCACACGCCCCAAGTGAAGAGCTGCGCCCTTGCCAGGAAGCGCGCGCGTCGCGCGGCCGCGCGCATGCCGAACGCCACGCGGAAGAAGTTCCCGCCCAAGAGTACCACGGCGAGGGTGGAGACGGAAGCGATGAGGTTGGACCCCTCGCCGTCCCCCAAAGGCGTCCACCTGCGGCGCAGCCAGAGAGCAGGACACGTTGATTCGCGACGCCTCTCAACGCGGGGGGAGGCTTCACGCAGATTGAGAGGCGGAGGCGGGCGCAAGCAACACAGGAGAGGGGTGGAGTCAGGGTGGGACTTAAGTGGGGGCGTGGGCGGGGCGGGTGCGCGAGCGCGGGCTGGGGTTTCAGGGGGAGTTTCAGGGGGGGAAAAGCGAGCCCACACCCGTCTGCTGTCTCGGTCAAGAAGCCCCGCTCCTCCGCCGCGCGCAGCAACAAGATCTGGCACCAAAAGATGCACAGCGCGCCAGCCTGCACCCTCTCGGGCGTCGCAGAATACCCACAGACGCCCCCTCCCGGCAACGGCAAGCCTTGCCCAAGAAGCCTGTGGCGTGCCCAGAACCGCACCGAGCCGCCGACGCGCCGGCCCAGAGCGGCCACCAAGTAACCCGGCGTCGCAAGCCTGCCGGTCCGAGGCTTCCTCCTAGGCAGCGACAGCAGTGGGCTCTTTGTGAGGGGGCTGTTGGCCAGGGTCGGCTCGGGAGGCGACGGAAGCGGCGAAGGCACTGGCGCCAGGGCAGATTGCCGCGGCAAAGCCGGGAGGCCGAGCCGCTGCGCGGTGTCCGCGCGCATTGCGGCCGCCAACGCAGGGAGAAGCGGCGGGGGGACGGGCAAGTCGCTGCCGTCCGCTAGTGTCACCTCTGCGGCCGTGACGATGCGCAGCACTGCAGCCACTGCTGCGGGATCGTTGCTCCCGGCGGAAGAGGTGGCGAGATTGGAGACCATGGCGTGGAGGACTGCCTGGAGGCGGAGGAGCACCGCACTGCGATCGGCGGCGGCGGCGCCGAAGAGGCGCAGCTGCTGCTCGCGAGGCAAGTCCGCGCCGGCAGCGAGGGATCGGAACTCAAGCTCGATCAGGGAGCCGATCCGGTGGCAGCTGGCTTGCAGCGGAGTGAGGGACGAGACGGGACGAGTCGATTCTCCCGGCGAGGAGGTCGTAGTAGCAGCAGTAGTCGTAGTAGAGGACGTAGTAGTAGTAGAAGCAGCATCTCCCAGCGAGGTGGAGGGCGAGACCGAGGGCTGCGACAACAGGTCGTCGGATTCCAGCGAGGAGAGCAGCTCGCCGAGGAGCTCCTCCATCTCATCCTCAGGCTGCGGGCCGCGATCCCACCGGTCCGATGCTTCCCCATAGTCGCCTCGGCATTCACCCGCGCCGCCCTCCTCGCCGCCGCCGCCGCCCTCCTCGCCGCCGCCGCCGCTGCTGCCGCCGCTGGCATCGGTGTCGGCGTGAGGATCGCACAAGGCAGCGAGGACGCGCAGAGCCTCCGAGGTGGTGTCGCGAGCCTCGGGAGTCCCGGCGGTCACGGCGAAGTCGCAGTTCGGGGAAGAGAGGGCGCAGAACGACGGGGTCGCGTCGTTGGTCGGCACGCCCCGGCTTCCGAGCGGCACCAGCTGCGCTCGCGCCCGCTCCAGGAGCTCTGCTGACGTCGGCGAGGGGGGCGAAGAAGAGGCAACCGAGCCCCCGACGGCATGGGTGGCGGCGACGGCGGTGGCGGTCGGAAGGGCGGGTGCTGCAAACTCGCGATCAACGAGCTCCTGCCTCCCGCCTGGAAGCATCAGCTCCAACAGGTCCGCTGTGCGCGAGACGGTGGCAGCCTTGGCCGCGGCAGCCTTGGCGCTCTGGGGATTTTGGCACCTGCGTGCACGGCACAGCTTCTTTCTGATACCCTTCCCACCGAAAGCGGGCTTGTCCTGGCACTCGCGACAGAGCCCACAATTCACCGCGCAGCAGCCGCTACATCGGTTGCATCGGCGCATCAAAATGCGCATCGCTTAGGCTCCTCGTCCCACGATTCGCAACGCCTCGCTAGGAGAGACGGCCTCGCTTGGGAGTGATGCGGAGGCCGGAGCAGATCCCATCGGGACTGTTGCTTTTGGAAAGAGCGAGCGACAGCGAGCCGCCCCCCCCTCGCAACCATCACCCAAACGTGCTTTTTGTTGGGCTCACACACACATGATGAACAAAACACTCTACTGACTGACTGAAGCTCGGGACTAAAACATATTGAACAAAGACACACCAGGGCCGCACGGCGCGAGCGAGGGACTAAGGCGCACTGACACTAATGAACAAAGAAAAGGCACAAAGGGTGAGTGTGTGTGTGACAGAGCGAGCGGAGGGCGTTGCAGGGAAAGGCGTCTAAAGGAGCGGTGCGTTGCGCAACCCCTCGCGGAGAACGTTGCGGGCGCCGGTGATGGCCTGCTTGCGGCGCTCCGCCTCCTCTCGAACCGCCGGGCTCGCGGTCTCAGAACAGGGCTCGTGAATTCACCAACGACCTGCATTTCGACGACCGCACGCAGTGCCATTTGGGGCGGGCGCTCCGGCGCTACGAAGCACAATCCGCTCGCGCTCCTGCCTTAGTGCGGCCTGTCTTTGTTCGATATGTTTAGTGCCGAGATTCAGTCAGTCATGTTTTGTTCATTATGTGTGTGAGCCAGCAAAGTTTAGTCGTACAATTCTACTGTCCCTCACGGGCGACGTCCCTCAAGGGCGACGTCCCTACCCCTAATGGGCGACATCCCTCACGGGCGAGATCCCTCACGGGCAAGATCCCTCACGGGCGACGTCCCTCACGGGCGACGTCCCTCAAGGGCGACGTCCCTATCCCTAATGGGCGACATCCCTCACGGGCGACGTCCCTCACGGGCGAGATCCCTCACGGGCGACGTCCCTCACGGGCAAGATCCCTCACGGGCAAGATGCCTCACGGGCGACGTCCCTCACGGGCGACGTCCCTCACGGGCGAGATCCCTCATGGGCGACGTCCCTCACGGGCGACGTCCCTCACGGGCGAGATCCCTCACGGCACACGGGCGAGATCCCTGATCCCTAATACGGACGGGACCCCTAACGGGCGAGAACCCTAACGGGCGAGAACCCTCACGGGCTCTCTCACGGGAGAGATCCCTGACGGGCGAAATCCCTAACAGGCCAGACGCAAAAAAAAACGTGGTGCGACCTTATTAGGACGGGTCGGGCCGCCGACTTTGTCGGAAGCGAACTTAGGCACAGCGCGCCCCCCTGTCCTGGACGGCCACAGGGGCTGCCAGGCGCGCAATCACTGGTAGTTCGACGCCACGTTCCCTCCGTTAGTGCACGAAAGGCGCGATCGGCAAGGACGAAACATCCCTATTCTGTTGGAGAAGGCGCATCGGAGCCCGACAGCAGCTCGCTGGACGTCGCCGATGCAATCATGCAGCTCTCCTGGGCACGCTCCCTCCATCTTACATCTAAAGCGCCCCCTAGGAGCGTGCGGCGACCTGCCCTGACCGGCCCGAGCGACCCGCTTTAGGTCTCTTCTACTCTGCCTGACGCTGCCCGCAGCTCCGCACCGCAGCGTCCGCCAAGGAAACGGAGGCCAGATTTGGACTCTCAGGCCCCGTACGGGGCCTGAGAGCCCAAAGGGGTATAGCCCTATAGGGGTATAGCCCTAAAGGGTTTATGCCCTTAAGGGCTATATCCCTCCAGGGTCTATGAGGGATATGGCCCTGCAAGGAACGGGCAGTTACGCAAGGCAGGAAAAATCCTATTGCAAAATACCCCTTTCGGGCGAGACCCCTCACTCATGGGCGAGACCCCTCACGGGCGAGACTCCTCACTGACGGAACCCCTCACGGACGGGACCCTCACGATAGCCCTATATAGGGGTATAGCCCTATAGGGGTATAGCCCTATAGGGGTATAGCCCTATATAGGGCTATAGCCCTGTAGGGAGTTTATGCCCTTAAGGGCTATATCCCTCCAGGGTCTATGAGGGATATGGCCCTGCAAGGAAAGGGGTTGGGCGGTTACGCAAGGCGGGAAAAATCCTATTACGGGCGAGACCCCTTTCGGGCGAGACCCCTCACTCATGGGCGAGATCCCTCACGCACGGGCGAAACCCCTCACGGACGGGACCCCTCACGGGCGAGACCCCTCACGGGTTACACCCCTGCCGGGCCTCATGGGCAACAACTTCCTTCCTTGCCGTTTGGCGACCCTCGACGGGCGAGCATATGTGAAAGCCGACCGCCAGGGTTCGAGCTTAGGGTACGTTTGGGTGATGGTTGCGAGGGGGGGGCGCCGGGAGAGTTGTGCACGGTAGATTGAGCACCGAGATCTAACGGTTTTCGCTCTGCGCTAGGCTCAGAGCGAGTTCGCGCTGCGCTAGGCTAAGACGGCCGTGGGCCGCCGGGGTGAGGACCCCACCGGCACCGCTCCTTGGCGGTTCGCGCACGCATCGCCTTCGGGAGGTCAGGCTCGGCATTCGGCAAGCTTGTCGGTCGGGCTCTACCTCAGCCCTCAGCCGAAGCTGGGGCCGGTCCCGTAGGCCGTCCGTAGCCGAGAGAGCCCCCGCGTCCCGGGATGAGACGTTCGACGGGCGACGCGGGCGTGTGGGCGTCGGCCGTCCGCGGTAAGGTAAGGTAAGGTAAGGTAAACTTCTCCACACACACGAGGTGGTGGGGCAAGGGGGGGCAACCCTCGCGTCTCCACGTCTAACGACAGGAGCCCCACGGCATTCAAAGTGCAAGGCCCGGTGCGCGTGGGTGAGCGGTGTGTGTGTGTGTGTGTGTGTGTGTGTGTGTGTGTGTGTGTGTGTGTGTGTGTGTGTGTGTGTGTGTGTGTGTGTGTGTGTGTGTCACGTCACTGCATCCTCTGCCGGTTCCTCCCGTCGCCTCTTCTTTGTTCGAGTGTGTTTCAATCCATCCTTCACGAAGCCCTCCCATGTAGCTAGCGTTCTTTGCGAATGTCTCGAAATGGCCAGCAGGCGCTGTCTGCTCGCGGTCTGTGCGGGCCGCTCGCGTCCTCCTCGCCCTTCTTTCGTCCTCCCGTCCCTCCCCTCCACCATGGCCTTCTCGGCACTTCTTTCTCCATCCGCCTCGCCCTGCCTTTTCGTATCGTGCCGTTCGCCCTCCATT